AAAAGTAAGAAGGGGAGGATTGGGGGAACTTGGGGAAACAGGAAGATTGGGATAAAGGAGGGCTGATACTTTTATATGGCAAAAGGAGCATGCTCCAGTAACTTGACAAAAATAAGACCAGGGTATTATTCTCTCTATTCTCGTAGATAGGAAGTTATAAACTTGGGCCCAAGTAAAGTACACTGATTCAGAAGTAGGTGCCACAGAAAGTCCCCCTCCCCCAACTTTGATGTTGTATGAAGGATCCAAAAAGTCCAATTGTGTAGAATACAGTAAAAAATGAGTCTGTGTGGAGGAAGGGAACTAATCCTTAACTATGTTGTATCTGAACTTGTGTTAACATTGGGTACAAGTGCATTCTTTAATAAGGAACTGAGTTACGGAGGACTTTATCCCCTCAAAAGATGTGCAAAACTCGACAAAAAATATGAATAAATATATGGATTCCCAGTTTGGAGATAAGCAGAACTTTTCTACGGATATTGACAAGAAAATAAGGCCAGGGCCTGGGTTACAGGGGCTGGTGACTCTAACTAGGATTAGAATTTAGTGCATCGAGTTGTTAGACTCTCTGCTTACTTCATGAATCAGCAGCTGCCATGACCTCACCTTGCTAATGCGAATCCCTCTGTGATGTTAAAGTCTTAGGGAGTTAGGTCCAAATAGCTCCGCATAACTGTAGGGATATATTTGTATTTTGATAAATAAAGCTTGCCTGAAGTTCAGAGAGTAAAACAGCCACACTGGTCAGCCTTCCAGACCGGGCAGTGGTGACACACTAGTTGCCATAGAAACTGGGTGGTAGTGGTGCATGCCTTGAATCCCAGCCCTAGAGAGGAATATAACACAGGAGACTGCTCTCACAGTCTCATTCTGAGGATTCCTGGAGGCAGGATCACCATTTTGGACTGAGGTAGATGTAAGAGTCAGTGGCTGGCTGTTTTGCTTTCCTGACCTTCAGGTTGAACCCCAATTTCGGTCTCTAGGTTTTTATTAATTGTGCTTCATTCGGCCCCCAACATGGGGCTCGAACCCATGGCCTTGAGATTAAAAGTCTTATGCTCTACCGTCTCCCTTCCACTTAGTCAAAGCAAAGCAGTTAGCTAAGAAC